AGTTTTATGTGCAAAGGAGGTAAACAGATTTTCTCTGATTCAGTGAGTCGCTCCCCAACTATATTCCGATTACCAGGGATGAATTTATCGCGTCGCGGCCATTCTTTAGTTTTATAATGGTTCTCTCAGTCCCGACTGTCCCAATGGCATAGAAAGCAGCTGTATTTTGTGAATCCCAGTTGCATTTCCATGATGAGTGCGACCATGTTCACATCAGCACAGATGAGCCGCTTGTATTCCCTCTACTGAATCTTATCAAGGAGTTGTACGTTTGCATGGTTCTCTCCCAATGACGTAGAGTACGCAACAGGCATAGAAGGGTAAATATTGCCAATGTGAAAAAGTACAGCCTTTAAACTGGTGCGAGAGGAATCGATGAAGAGGCGCCAAGCCTCTGGATGACGATCATGCCCCAAACTTTTCATAAGGCCATCCACATTGGAGCAATAGAAAAGCTCTTCCTCTTCCACGAAATACTCACGAAAGGTCTGATCTCGATGACGGAAATGGCTGGTAGTAACCCTAGGTTCTAAGACGTTAAATTCTTTGAGAACCGAACCCATGTACTCCGATCTTCCCTTCGTGAGGTTCAAGTCGCTAGCAAGATCATTCAGCTGCCCTTGAGTCATGAGACCTGGTTTCACTTACACCGGTGGTACTTCTTCTATGTAATTTTCGTCTTTGGAAATGTCTTCTGTGTCGTCTGTGTCGGTGCACACAAGTGCTTCTGCAGCAATAGGCGTGTCCACCGATGTTGTATACAGGTACCATCGCCGAAAATGATGGTGGATCCAATGATTTTACGGTTGGATATTGGAGAGTCTTCTTATTTTTCCGAGAATATCCGTATATGTTTGTCAAGCAAAAATAACAGTCTGTGATGTGATCATACTGTTCTCTCCATATCTCTGGGACATTGAACGCAAGTTTCATCTCCGTGGTTTTCACTGATACCTGTAGCAGGACGCGACAAGAGTAGCAGCACATTGATGGAGTCCAGGGTTTGTCCTGGTTACAGATGGATCGGCTGAACACGATCTCATAGGCTTCCTTTACAGCAGGGGTGATATTTCTCCTCTGTGATGTAGGGATGAATTGTGCGCGAACGTAACAGAATGAATCGGGTGACTTTTTACATTTTCGCGACATTTCTAAGGAAATTGCGAACTGTTAGAGAAGACAGTTCAATCCTGAAGTTGCTCATGGGTTTCTCCCCGAAATTCTTCTGTTAAATTGGATGGAACGAATGTGGAATGACGACAAGGGTCAAGCGGAAGGGTTGAGATTACAAAGGTCAAACGGGTGAGAAAAGTGAATTCCTAGAAGGGTCAGATGGAGAGACGTGCAGATTCAAACGCAAAAGACAAGTCAGTCGATGGCTAGGGTCTTGAAATCTTGTAATCAAGGTTTGTAATTTCTCCATTTGCCCCTTTCGCTTACCTCCTACCATCACTCTAGTCGTCTCTCCACTCGCTCCACTCATCTCTCCCGCTTGATTTTTATGAATTTTTATGTTCCTTCACTATCTGGCATCAATTCTCTGGGATAAAGTTATCAAAATACACAACTTGTCAACTGAGGAATTTTTCCAGCCCTCTTTCTATTGTAGTGATGCCGCGAGACGCGAAAGAAACGAGACGAGAAAATTTATTTCAGAAACTTGATTTACTGTAATTTTTTGTGCAGAAAATTAATTTGACAATAGGAAATAAAGCTAGTGACACACACACACGATAAAAAAAAATTCAAGAATAATTCCAGCCGATGAAAATTCTGTGTCAGGACGGGAGTCAAGTTGGAAAGTAAATTTGCATGACCAATGAAACAGTCCAGAAGCCGCAAAAACGATGAAGGACATGGAACTGTCATCCTGGGGTCTTTGGGGATCCTCCGAATAAAAAATCACATGAAATAGTGAATGTAAGCCAATTTTACGCTGGATGATAGAGAGAAAATACCTCATATTCAACGTTTCAACCTCCCAATGATAATTCCAGAATGACGATTTTCCTTTCAACTGGCGACCAATATCAATCCCAACTGAGAAATTCATTAAAAACCTCCTCACAGTTTATTTCCATAACCGTGTCTTTGCAAAAATAACCACGTGCTTATTGAATCAATTCCAGGGGGTTAGAAATATATACGAAGCCAACTTCCGAGAGTTCACGTAATCAACAGTTAATTCAACCCAATTTATGAATTTTAGGATTTTTTGCAGTGAAATCACGCCGTGGAATTGGAAGAGGTTTATTCTAACGGATGAAATAATTTTTCAATTATACTCTGCTATTTTTTTCCATTCAATTCTGTCGAAAATTCATTGAATTATAATTTTTTGAAAAATTTCCTTTTTGACAAATTTCACAACTTTAACATTTTTTTTTTCTAAAACCTGACGTGCTAGAGGAATTTTTCAAAAACCGTCGGATTTAGCGTGCAAAAATCAATAAGTGGTGTAAATTTCATCTTTGGTAAAAAAAACTTGACCTTATTTTGTTGTACCGTGTAGTTATTTCGTGCTAAAGCCTGATGTATTTTCAAACAGAAAATTCCCTGATTTCATCTATGTTCAGACATTTATTCATTAGTCATTCGATCTCCCGGGTATCCAACTGAACAGTCGATAAACACGAATCAATATCAAACGTCGAAAAAATTTTAAACGATCATTAAAAAATTCTTCGGAAAAAATGAAGGTAATCGTTAAAATTTAAATTGAAGGAGAGGATCAACGTCGATCGCAGAATATTTAAATGATTGCTAAACTAGACCAGCACAATCCTCCGGTAATTTCCGTCAACCAAGAGAGAGATCTAGCAGATGCTGAGCAGATCCCTCAGCTTGATGGGGAAGAAGGAGTCATTGAGAGGGCAGTCCAGCGACGAGGGACACCACGCGGTAGGCAAAATGCAAATAATAATCCAGGAAGAGCACCTGCCAGATGTCCCCGTCGTCCGAGAGAAAATCTCTTTCATGACCAAGCCACTGCAACAGCAGAGCCATTGAGAAGAGTTCGCGGAGGAAGCTTGACCGCAACCCCGACCAGCCTGCTCGTGCTGGGAGATGCGGTATAGTACGAAATACCGCCCGCAGCCCTGAACGCGCTCCCGCCCCGCTCCCGAATCCTCTCGTAGACGTTGCTGAGACATGGAGATTGAAGTGATGCCTCTACCACTAGCTCTAGATGAAGAGGATATAGTTGCAGTGGCCGAGATGCATCCAGTTGCAGTGCCTGAAGTGCCTCCAGTTGCAGCGCCCGAGGTGCTTCCAGTCCCTCCAACCGGACCTTGCTGCATCGAGTAAGAGGCCAACCTGTTGATGCTGTGGTGTGCACATTATTCAACATGTGAAGGCTGCCTGCAAAATTACGATCGTACCTATTGCCCGGTCTATCTATTGCCCGGAGGGGTGAGAGCCCCAGCGCCCGCGAAGGTGGCGAGAGGTGGTGTGGTTGTGAAAGGTGGTGCGGCTACGAGGGGGGGTGTGGCTGCGCGAGCTACGAGGGATGGTGCGACTGGACGAGCTGCGAGGGGTGGTGTGGCTGCAAGATCTGCGAGAGGTAGTGTGACAGTAAGAGACGTCACAGCTGCAAGAGGTGATCAAGGCACGGATAGGCGTGCGAGGGGCAGAGGGTGTGAGTAAGAGGGAAGGCAAGTGGTTGAGCAAAATGACGACATCGGACAAGACCATGTCGTTCTTGCCAGAGATGAACATGCGGAGGAACCGGTCATAGAGAATGGTCGTAGAGAGGTCGACTTCGACTGATTGTGAGAATTCACGCCTATTAATTTTGACTTCCAGAGAGAATTCCGGCCTGTTAATTTTGACTTCGACGAAGAATGGCCACCTGTTAATTTTGAACAGATTCTAAAAAATGAGTTACCGGCCCTCTTGCCTGATCAGGGTAATCAAGAGGCGGGCGATCCTGTTTCGGTCGGAGAGAATGGAAACCGCGTGATCTCATACTGCATCATCTGCATAGCAGCAGTGAAAAATATGGTTCTCATTCCATGTGGACATATTTCCACATGTGAGGCATGTACTCCACGAGCCATCGAAATTGGATGCCCAGGATGCCGTCGTATGCCAGAACATACGTATCGCGTATACAACATGGGATTCGTATTTTGATTTCCGACTCATTCATTAATGAGTTAATGAGTCAATCAATTTTTTTCATTAGTCCATTTTTTGATGTTTTTAGTTTGATCACTCATATACTTCCTATCATTAAATCTTAAGCAGATAAGAAATTATGATAAAACACTCATTTGATATCATCCATATTTGTTGAAATTACAAATAGAAATTTGTAATTTTAAGTCCTTTTTTTTCAAGTTAATAAGAATAGTTCTTTGTACTCATTCTTCTAATTTTCGATGTGGTCGCTTATATTATTCTCATCTCACATATTATATATTATTCATCTCTGGATGCTGGACCTCAAATTCGTGAAAAAATATCGATATTCTGTTGTAACTTATCCGATAATTCAATGTCACTTGAAGTCGTTGAATAGTGTAAGCTGAACTCTACCGAAATTATATATAATCTTGCAATGAAACCGTGAATTATAGCCCCTCTACATACCCCATGAACCCAGAATATGTTCAATAATTCCAGGTTTCATAACTTGGTAGATTCCACTGGTGGAAATACCTTTCGTCATAATATTCTCATATGAACACACTAACGAAACTCGTTGACTACCCTCTAGCAAGTTGTTTCAAGTACAAGTTACGCCATCTCATAACGAAGTGCACAAACTCCACTTGGAAAAAGGTGAGCGCCTGTATGAAAGAAAATCCACCTCAAAGCCGAGAGGGAGAAAGAATGAAAACCGGTAAAACCAACGCTTTCACAGGATGATGAGAGCTGAAGTTTTTTTCTCGAGGTGGAATGGGTCAAGTTATAAGCAAACGAAAACCCTCTCTTTCAACCTGTAAATTAGAATAATTAGTGCATGCAAAATGAATCGTTGGAGTATTAAAGCTTACCAAGACTAGCATCATATGTATTCATATACTCGCTGGTCATAAATTGCGATACAAGTGCAGTTTTTCCCACGCCAGAATCACCAAGTAGAACAACCCTATATTTGGGTACGTCGTCCGCTTCACTCTCAGTGCTGTCGGCAGCAACTCCCTGACCGCTGCAGCAGGATCCGTCAAATGGTGATCTCTCTCCAGATACATTACTATTCCTGCAGCAAATGAAAATTCATTGGTCAGCTTTCTGCATGAGATGAATGAAGGTTAAAGTAGGAATTTGAAATTTCAGTTGCTAGTGGCCATTTTAATTTGAAAGTATCTCACGAGCAAAAATAGATGCCTATTTACTCGATTAAAAGAAAATATTCTCAATTCAATTCCAAAAAATATAATTGGGTGTCACATAAAAAAAATAGTTGAATTTATGAGCGACGGCAGTGGTTGTGCGGTTAGAGCGTGCGATTTTAGCATGCGAGGGACCCGGGTTCGATTCGCGGCTGGGAGGGGAGTGGGCAAATTTGTGACACTCTAAATCTCACGGTTTCATTTGTTGAGCGGGAGTCTCGTAGAAGACGACTATACCTGGGCAGGTTTCTCCCTCAAGTGAGGGTTTCCCTTGTCCTTCAGCGAATGCGGTACAAGAGTTGCGAGGGGGGGGGGTGTAAGGGAACAAAATCGTAAAGACCCGAAGGGGTATACGAGAGAAAAAATAAAATTGAGTTGAGTTTGTGACCGATGGCTTAGGCTTAGACTTCATTTCAATTTTATACAGGGTGACAAATGGGAAGTTATCTAAAGTATACCCACGTGTCTTCCCTTCTTACTGAGACCCGGAAGGTTAGGTCCATTAGATATATACTAGAGTGTTGTCAGTTTCTATTGAGACACGACAAGAAGCACTACGTGTACTTCAAAATGAGTAACCTTACAAATGAAGAAAAAGTATATCTTATCGAGTGCTTTTATAATAGAGGTACAAACTATACTGAAGCATATAGAGGCTTTCGTACCAAATTTGGAAGTAAAAAAGTAGCCAGTCAAAACACCCTCAGAGAGAACCGACGTCGGTGGCCGAGTGGATTAGATGCAAGTCTAGTGTGCGAAAGGTTGTGAGTTCGATTCCCCGTGGAACCGAATTTTTCAACGGAAGGCTCCGGCGAGCGGGAGGTTGCTAATAGAGGAACCGCCTGTACCGGCATGGGTTTTCTGTGGTTTCCCCATGCTACTTCTATGTTCTATAGAAGTGCGAATGCGGTACAGTGTAGAATCCACAGCCGCATGCATAGGGTTGGATAGAGTGCCGAATGGGACCCGAAAAAGGGACTCCGAGGCCGTAAAAAAAAAAAAACACCCTCAGAAGGGGAGAATAAAAAAAATTTATCTGACATCATCGTATAACCTCACTTTTGACTAAAACTTTCAAGTATTTATTACTTTCTCTTCCAGAGTAATTGATAATTTCATCAAGTATTATAATCTTGAGGACCGTCGTCATGATCTTCCTGGTCCATCACACTCAGTTACAACAGAAGATACGATTGCCAAGATCGAAGAACATTTCAAGAATAATTCAACGGATTCGATACGAAAAGCAGCGGCAACTTTGAAACTGAACCGAGAGACACTGAGAGTAATATTGAAGTATTTCCTCATGTTACACCCTTACAAAATTACGATCCATCATTTGCTCACAGAAGATTCCAAAAACAAAATAATTGAGTTTTGTAAAATTATGACACAGAAATTTGAAAATGATGAGATCGATATCAATCACATAATCTTCACAGACGAAGCTCACTTTTATTTAAATGGACATGTAAATAAACAAAATTACCATTTTTGGGGTCGCGAAAATCCCCACTCATTTGAGGCAAAGTCTTTACACCCTGTTAAAGTGACTGTTCCCGACTAGAAATTTGACTCGGCAAACCCTTCGGCCCTGATGCGGCAGGCCGAGCCTGATATTCGGTGCTAGTGTGGTCAACCGAGTCCGGCCCAGATGAGGCGCGTTACGCGAGTTTCACGTTGGGGCCGGATCATGGTTGCCGTATCCAAGCCGAGTCGTGGGGGCCAATTAAAATTATTATCAATCTTATTGGTAATTTAGCATCAATTATTGCTCATTCAATCGCTACTCTCAAAATTGTTCCGAAAATTTTTAAATGACACTGGTACCATATGTACACATGGATGATTCGACTATCCACGATCATTCTTAATAATGTAAAAAAAAGAAAATTATATGCTATCAAAATTTATCATCTGTTATTTATCACTCTTGACTCCCTAACGAATTTATCGCTGAGAAACGGATTTTTTTTAACCTAAAATATTCTACCCATGACTGGTTTCGAACCCGGGACCTACAGATTACTAATCCTATGCCTTAGCCAACTAGCCTACCGCGCTATTCGTGCATTTTGAAATTCGTACTGTCTATTTTATATAGACACGGTCGCCTGCACATACATATTTTCATCATGTTTTTCAACATTTAAATAGTTTGATATGATATTACCAATTATAAATTTACCACCCCCCCCCTCTCCCTGCTACTTTCGGCAGACGTGTGGTAGACATTCGGCAATCGGCTAGGATTTTATCAGTGTCCACTAGTCCTAAGATGGAACACAAGTGATGAGATCACCCTATTCGAGAGTCAAACGATGATAAGGGTCAAGCTGAAGGGTTGAAAAATAGAATCTCGAGGATCAAGTGAGGTCAATGAAGAATATAATGATGAGTATAGACGGATACTGAGGGTGGATTAGCAAAAAAAAGTAAGGCAATTATCTTGGTTACATAGGAGGAATGTGGAATCCTAATGGCCGACTGACCCTAAAACAAATTGAAGGGGGGGGGGTCTATGAAGAGAAGAATATTCTTCCGATTTGTCTAAGTTGGGTTCGCTGGCCAAGTGGAGTATGCCTTATCTGGGCCTTATGAGAACCACATGAGGTATACCCTATTCGGCATGCCTAACGAAAAGCGAGACTCGCGCTGAATTCGGTGGAGGCTAGATCCGGCATGCCGTACATAAATTCTAGTCGGCTTTGGGCAGCTATTTCAATCAAAACAATACACTTAGAATTTACAGAAGGGACCATCACAGGCAATAGTTATCGAGAAATGCTACAAACTAAATTTTTCCCTTTGGCTAAAAGAAGAGGATTGGTTAAGAACTATTATTTTATGCAAGATGGTGCTACACCGCATAGAACTAAGAACGTATTTGAAGCTATTTATGAAGTGTATTGTGATCGCGTCATCGGATTAGGATACCCCAAGTTTGCGGATGGAGGTATGGAATGGCCCCCTTATTCACTCGATTTGAACCCGTGTGACTTCTTCTTATGGGGTTTCCTGAAAGATAATGTTTATGCGGAAAAACTCGAAAGCAAAGATGATTTGATCTCGAATTTTTCCTCAGATTGAACAAGTTTCTCATAGTTTCCGAAAACGGCTTGATTGGAGATCACTCCGAAAATATTTACCATTAATAGTTATCTCCTGGCTCAATTTGTCAATTTTTTTCAAATCTCAATAAGTATCTATTAGATGTGTCTGATTCAACTGAAACTAATTCCACATAAAAATGACATCTTTACTCAATTCATATGTGATTTCTTTTTTTTTTCCTGGCACTCATTTCAACGTTATAAACGATTAGTTTAGGCAACTTTCTAATTGTCACCCTGTATATTATTTATTTTCCGAATGATTGAAAAAAAATCTATGTATGATGATATAATCTTTACAACAAAGTCATTACACTAGTTTTTTTGCTTCTGAATAGAAACTTTGTAATCGTTGATTCTGACAATCTTCCAATTTTGCCTGGAACTGATCGAGACGCGCGGTAGCGTATCGGCCAAGAAAAGTTTTGGCCGACTGAGCAAAACCTCAGGCCGAGCGCACCGCGTATCTATACAGTGTATAGTATATACGACAGAACTTCCTCGACTACCTCTAAATAATTTACATTCGGTATAATGAAAACGGGACAACAAATCGGGAAAGTGTCGTTAGTTACATTAACTAAATCGCCTATGAGCTTTTCAACGGTGCAACTATGGTATTTTTTGGATTAACAGTAAAAAAGTTACGCGCATAGCAACGGGTTGATATTCACATTCTTACGCGCATTCACGTTCTTGGCGCGGAGTTTTTCAACTCACTGTCTGTATCAATCTAATCCTCCATCCTTTGATCCGCGCTAAGGACGTTGGTCCTGCTCCTACTGATCTTTTATTTCATAGAGAATTTTTTTAGAATACTTATTCCATTGAGAACTATTTTTCTTACAGAAATCTGATTGTGCACTATCACCATTTATTCAAAATTCCTGACTTGGCTTCCTTTTTTATTTCTATGTATTTTTCAAAAGTGTAGAATGTCATGAAGTGTGAAAATATGATCTTTTTAAAAAATGTGTGTTGGTATGTCGGGATGTTTATGCGAATATTTCGGAAAATTTTTATAAATTTTCGCAGAAAAAGGACTAAGTAGGTTGAAGCTGAAAATCTAAAATTTCATCTCATAATCGATATTATTTCGGAACACTTCTGGGCAATTTCAGCTCAATCGGTCAATTTTTTCCGAGATCTAGTAATTTCTCAAAAATCTTTTTTCGGTATCGGTACCGAATTTATTATATCTTAACCGGTATTTTTCGTTTTTATGACATAATTATTCTGTGCACAATAACTCTCGAAAAAATTTAGGTAGGATGTTGAAATTTGGTGAGACTAGCTCTTATGATTTTACAAGACGGGATTGTGGGTAGGCGAAATCGGACAAGTGGTTTAAAAAATTTTCAACTTTTTGTGAAAAACTGTTTTGTTCAATATCTCCCAAACTACTGGTCCGATTATTACTTTTTTTTCAAACTACTCTTCTCATCGTCCCCTAACAATCTCAATCAAAATATGTGAATACACTTTCATACAAAGTTTTCCAGATATCCACGTTTTTCTAGTTTTTTCAAGTGGGAGTTAATGTGGCATTCCATAATACGCGTAAAACTTGGAATAAACGTCTGAAATTCTGGATACCAATTAGTATTATTGAGTCACACTTGTGTATACAATTTTGTGTCGATCGATTCAATACATCCTGATATAGAGCGATTCATCCGAAAATCTTGTTTTCTAAAACGTCACACATCGTGGTTTTATTGATTATTTTTGCCTCTGAGGGCTTATTCTGGCCT